TAGTAATAGTATAGATATAGGCGAAGGAGATTAATAGAAGTTAATAATACCGGTAGCCTAGTAGTATACTAAGTAAATCGCTACTATATAGGGCCTACGCCTAGTCTAAGACGATAATAGACAATAGAGGACCGCTAACGAAAGGGACCTGCCTAATATAGTACGCCTCTAGTAATAAGTCCAAGAGCTTAAGGAACAGAATAACTAACTTTAGACTAAGATTTTCAAGCTAGTTACTAAAGGATAGACGGTCGAAGGAAGGTTTAACGAGGCGATCTAGTAAGTGAATACGCTCTACAAGGAGATCTTCTAGGTTAACGACTCTTCCGATCGTAGAGATATTAGATAGAACGGACCTTACGACTAGAGCGCCGAGGACTACTATCCTACCGAGGTCCGGAACCCTAAATAGGAATACTACGACTAGGCTAGGCGATAGTACCTTAAGAACGTAGAACCCTAGAGCTAGGAGGAGTTCTAGAAGACTAGAGCCTATATTAGCCTCGGGAAGAACAATAGCGATATAAAGGAACCTGACTACGAGGGAAGGTTCCGATAGGTCGATAAGTCGGAATCGCGAAGGCTATACCCCGAGCGGGTAGACTATAAGCAGGTACTATAGTTCTAGTACGTTATATACGCCTATAAGTACTACTTTAAGGAGAAATATAACTATAACTACTAGCCTATCTGCGAGACTATACCTAACGGACTGCCTAGACTAATCAGGTAGATATTCGATTAGGGGTAGGGAGTATCCGACCTACTCTAGTACTTTAAGTACCTAGAGGATAGCAAGGTCTGCACACGACTACGACAAGTATAGCTATCCCTATATATATATTTATAGGATAATAATATAGACTACTATAATAGTATAGATTGTATCTAGTACCTATAAGCTAAAAGCAAGGAGCACTAGCGTAGGAAGACGGAAACGAGGGAACGTTACTCGCGGGATTTAATATCCCGGAGGAAGAGACGTAACTTGGACCCGACCTAGGAATAGGGGGGCGAGGACGAGGACCGGTTAGCACGGAGTAGTAAGCAATGGTTATAAGAGTTCGGTACTATTGTAGAAGTAAGCTAGAGAACGGAAGGGGACGCCTTTCACGACCTCTAAAAGGAGTAGGTAGACTATCGACGACTAAACGACGCGGTTTATAGTACTCGACAGTACTTGGGAAACGGCTCCGGGCCCTCCAAGGGGCCCGACGACCTCTAACACCCTTATAATAACGACAAGCCCGTTAGTATAGGAAGAACTAGGCGAAACGGAAGGACTATAACGATCTCCCGGCAAGTAAAGTAGAAATCGCTACTATATTAGGTACTAGGACTGACAGGAGACTCTAGATCCCGGTATACTAGAAGCAATACTAGGTATTAGCTTTAGTAGATAGAGGGTTAGAACTTAACCTCATCTTACCTAGATTCGTTAACCAACTCTAGGTTTCATAGAGGATAAAGGACATTATATATATAGTTAAAGGACTATTTGAAATATAGTAGGCTCGACGTGAAACCGAGCTACTCGATATCACTGTCGAAGGGAAGACTACGAAAGTCATTTTCGATATCATAGACATAAGGACCGACAAGGATATAATCTTAGGATTCCCCTAGTACGAGGATTACAACCTAGACATTAGTTAGAAGGGAGGTAGCTACCTACGGCCCCGACTAGAACCGGGACCGTATCCGACTAACGTAATAGGAGGCGTAGGCGAAGGATTACGAAAAGGTAGTACGACGAAACACGTATACTTCTAGGATCTACTGTAAGAGGCGGATAGCGGCGGATAACCCGCTATGTACTCAGGAAGAAGCGGTAGTTATAAAGGGTTGAACAAAACAGGCCTAGATCGAGGCTAACGGTAGACTCTAGGGGGTACGCCGAGACAGGCTATTAAGGAAGTCGCTGTTATCTTAATCGATAACTACGGCAATACTTAGTTCCAGGAGTAGGTATAGTAGGCCGAAATGGCCGAAGTTACAGCTAGTAGTAAATTTACGTACTACGAAGGTACGATAAAGAACGACGAAACGGGATAGATCCCAGCGGAATACTAGGGATACCCGGCGTTCGAAGTAAAATATATAGAAGGGTTACTAGATTATAGACCTTAGGATCACGAGATTAAACTTAAGGAAGGCGCCTAGTTAAAGTTCTTTAAGGTATACTACACTAACGAACTCTAGGACAAAGAGCTGAAGAGATATCTCGAGTCTAATCTTAAGATAGGGTATATCAGACTATCGACATTACCCGTAGGCTATCCAGTCCTCTTCGTTCTAAAGAAGGATAGAAAGCTTAGAATATATATAGACTACTAATAGCTAAATGATTAAACGGTAAAGAACCGGTACCCCTTGCCCTTGATTATATAACTCCGCGACTAGTTAGTAGGAGCACGATATTTTACCCGTCTCGATCTTCCGATAGTATACGCCTATATTCGTATTAAGAAGGGAGACGAATAGAAGACAGTATTTTATACCTATTACAGCTACTTTGAGTATCAGGTGATACCCTTCGGCCTAACGAACGCGCCCGCGACTTTTTAGGCCGTTGTCGATTATACGATCCGTCTATTCTTAGACCGATTCGCGGTCTATTACCTAGATAATATTCTTATCTTCTCTAGGACGCTCGAAGAATATAAGGAGTACGTAAGGCAAGTACTAGATATACTCTATATATAGAAACTCTTAGTTAACAAGGACAAGAGCGAGTTCTATATTATAAAAACGGTCTTCCTAGGCTACGAGATTACGCTAGGATAGATTCGGATAGAACTAACTAAGGTCGAGGCTATTAGAATATAGCTTACGCCTAAGACGATAACAGAGGTCCAAGGATTTATCGGATTTGCTAACTTCTATTGGATATTTATTAAGAACTTTAGCGATATTGTACGACCTCTATATAACCTAACGAAGAAGGATATCGAGTTCCAATAGGGAGAAGAGTACGAGCAGGCATTCCAACGGATCCGCGAGCTAATCGTCGCCGACCTAGTACTTATACTACTAGACCCTAGGAAGCTATTCGAGGTTGAGACCGACGTGTCCGATTATACGGTCGGCGGGCAACTTGGACAATGGGATAACGACGGCAAGCTTTACCCTATTACATTCTTCTTATAGAAGATCTCGGGACTGTAGCTCAACTACCTAGTCTATAATAAGGAATTGATAGCGATCATTAAAGCCTTCGAAGAATAGAAGCCCTATCTTAACAGTACGATATATAAGGTTCAGGTCTATATAGACTATAAGAACCTCTAGTACTTTACAACGACGAAGGAGCTTAATAGACGATAGACACGATAGGTAGAGTTCCTATCGTAGTTTAACTTTGTTATTTACTATAAGAAAGGTATAGAAAACACATAAGCGGATACCTTAAGTAGGAGACCGGATCATTTCGGTAATACTACTAAAGCCTCGCTACTACTGTTTTAAGCCCTGGAGGGTAGTTCCTTAAGATATCCCCTCTAGTACTTCGAGGAGTACTACACGATCTTCAGGGAAAAACGGGATCAGACGCTAGGCAAGCTAACGCCCGATAGTAAGATCTATATCAATAAGACCGCCTAGAAGGTACTTATTAGGAATACCCACGAGTTAAGACTCGGAGGGTATATAGGAATCGCTAAAATAGTTATTTGGATCAAGTAACACTACGATTTCCTAGGACTTAGGAAGAAGGTAGAGGAAGTACTCGCGGTATACGACCTATACCGCCGAAGTAAACAAGATAGGTATAAGCTTTACAGACTCCTTCAACTACTACTGGTTGCAGTATAACTATAGAGCTCGATAACGATAGACTTTATTACTAAGCTACTAGTATCAAAAGATACGACAATAGGAACAATATACGATAGTATCCTTACTATAGTTAACAGACTTACTAAGTAGAGCTACTTCTTCCCGTACAAGGAATCGTAGTTAGTAGAATAACTTATAGACGTGATCTACCGATATATTACTTTAGTCTATATATAGCTAGAAGAATAGATTATAGATAGAGATACTAAGTTCGTATCGAAGTTCTAGCAGGTACTTATAAAGCGCCTAGGAACAAAAAGTAAGCTCTTAACAGCTTATTATCTATAGACAGACGGACAGACGGAACGACTTAACTAGATCGTAGAACAATATCTCTAACTTTACGTTAACTACTAGCAAGACAATTAGGTTATACTTCTACCTATAGTATAGCTTACGTATAATATAGTATCTACGGAAACTACAAAGGTCTTACTGTTCTTCGCGAACTTCGGATACGAGGTAGATTTATACTAGGGACCCGAGGTCTCGGTCCCTAGAGTAGTAGTCAAGGCCAACTAGATATATACGCTTTACGCGATACTTAGGGGTAAACTCGAATTCGTTAGAGGTAGGATGAAGGAGTACTATAATAAATATAGGCTCGAGAGTCCTCGCCTAGAGAGGGGAGACAAGGTCTACCTTAATATACGAAATCTTCGAACAAATCGACTAAGCAGGAAGCTCGACTTTAGGAAAATCGAACCGTTTAAGATCGAAGAGCGGATCTCGGAGAACAATTACTAGATTACGCTACTAGTAATAATAAAAGTCAGGACCAACGTCTTCTATATCGTACTCCTCGAACTAGTACCTAAGAACGCTAGGCTTACGACCAACGTCGAAGCCTAGGACGAAGAAGAAGAATAGGACATTAAGAAGATCCTCGATTTATATATTAATAATAGACAACTAGAGTATCTAGTTAAATAGTTGGATTTCGACGCGATAGAAAACTTATAGGAACTAGCTAAGAACCTCTACTACCCTAAGAAGGTTACGAACTTCTACTACTAGAACTCGGATCGACTAAGGGAAGTACTAAAGGCGAACCGGAACCACTAGAAGGGCTACCCTAAGAAGTACTAAGGTAAGTTAGTATAAGAAAAAAAAGAGGGCTCGAATCGTCTTATCTCTAAATAGAGATAAAAAGATTAGAGCTATAGCTACAATAGGAATCGAACCTACGACCCTACGCTAGTTATAGCCTAACCTCTAGATAGGTCTAGAGGTTAGGTATATAAAGAGTATATACGCTAACTACTGTACTATATAACTATTTTATTTGTTAGAAGAAGGAGGTAGGGGAACGAACCTTTAAGTAGTATCAGGGGCAGTTAGCTAGTCCAGGCTACCGAAAGGGACTGCGCTAGCGGCCTCCTAGTCGACGATACTAAAAGTACCTAGGGACTATACCCGGCTAACTAGGGATTACTCCTCCGATATCGGTATAGGGGAGTTGGACTCGTCCTCTTCTAAACTATCTAGACTATAGCTTAGTAGCTCGGAGCCGGTATTACCCAGTACCTCGCGCTAACGACGAAGATACGAGAGACGGCTCAACGCCTCGGATAGCTATCGTTCAGTATCTATAATTTCCTTATCCACTTTGTTACGAGCCGATATATTCGCTATTACTACTAGAGATTAGCCTAAGTCTATAGGAAGATAAGTAGGACTTACAAGCGCTAGCGACGTTCGGACTACTATACTTCTTACCTAGCCGAACGTAACTCGAGCATTTGTTCGAGCTAGGTACTATTATATAATACCTCCGGGGCTTTATATTCTAACAACGCTCGTAGGGTATATCGACCTCTTGACTGTCGTGGTCAATAGCGGTAGTAGCGGTACGACGCTCAAGCACGCGGTTTCGACAGGGCCTACCAGGCGTATCAGCTATAACGAAAAAGCAGTAGCGGACGAGGAAGAAGCGCTTACGGAAGAAACAGGGGAATTAAGGCGGTTAGCGTTATTTGAAACGATAACCTCGATCTTTCGGGACGAAAGACGTTGAGGAGGGGCATCGTGTCACGAACCAACTATATATTGCAGCCAGATGGAACCCGCGGGGCGCAGCTCGGACCAATAGTTACGTAGCACTACCGTAAGGCTATAGGATAGTACAGGATAGTCGCTCGTAGACGCTAGCGTCTATCGGCGACTATAGACGCTCAGGGGCGCTAGCGACTAGCGGCGTCTACTATGATAGTAGGGAACTAAATAGTATATAGTTACAGGGCTAGAGGGCTCTAGGAGTCCTCTAGTAAGCAATATATCACTGTGCTTGAGACGTCCTTTCGAATATAGTGAGAAACACCTTGTTGTAAACCCTTTAGCTTCACCGAACCTTTTGGACTACCAGTCTTGATACCTCTGCTAAACCCTTTTAGAGTTAGGTCTGACCGGGTTTGTCACACTATTATAATTATTAGGTCGAACCCAAGCTCCTCCTTATTTATCTAGAGGAATCCGAGGATCGTAATACAAATCGTAGCCTAACCTTATTAATATTAAATTGTTCTAAAGCGATACCCCTAAGCTAGTTAAATACCTATATCCTTATAAGAGATCTATAGAAGGTAAAGCCTAAGACAAAGCGACGGGTATCCTAAGCTATAAGTACTTCTCTAATATACCTACTAAGGTCGAGCTACGCTTCTAAAGGTCTATCAGCGGATAGGTTACTCTTTAGCTCGCCAGGTATAAGAATCTAAGCCTAGCTATACCCCGAATCTTCCCTAGCGCTAGGGTCGCCTATAAAGCTAATATCTATCTTCTGTTTCCCGACGGAGCTAGTAATTAACTCGTTAGGCTTCGCTAGTAGTCTTTACTAGTACACTAAAGTAGGGTTATAACTCTCTATAAATGCTACTAGCTTCTTAGTAAAGTCTATAGACTAGCTTAGTATATTATCCTACCTCGCTTCTTCAAGCTAACTCCTCTAGCCGTTGTCGAAGAGCGGGTCGCTACCTCAAAATACTCCTCGAAGAACGCCTTAGATACGATCTCCAGATATAGTATACTACTAAAGTATATCTAGTAGAAGTCCTAGAGCCCAATATATATAGGGCCAAGCTCCTCCTTAAGGACGTTATCGATATATTTATAGTATTTAGACGAATTAGCGAAGCTACTAGTTTTATATAGCTATAGAGTCTACTAGAGGGAAGAGACTATTAGTCGGGAAGGCGGGGTAGATTCGGTAATAGCGTCGTAGACTCAGTCCCAGATAAGGGTATCTGTAACAAACCCGGTCAGACCTAACTCTAAAAGGGTTTAGCAGAGGTATTAAGGCTAGTTCGGTCTAATAGGTTCGGTGAAGCCAAAAGGTTTACAACAAGGTGTTCCTCACAATGAGTACAGAATGCAAAGGTTACTACAAACACTATAATATATTGCTTACTGTAATAAACCCGGTCAGACCTGACTCTAAAAGGGCTTAGCAGAGGTATCAAGACTTAGTGATCTAAAGGTTTAGTGAAGCCAAGAGGTTCATAACAAGATATTTCTTACTATAGTTGAAAGGGCGTCCTAAGCACAGTAATATATTACTTACTAGAGGACTCCCTAAGCCCTCTAGAACAAGTAACTATATACTAGGTATACCTAAGTACCTATATAACTGGATCGTAGCGCTTATAGCCTGACTACTACGATCGCTCCTTAGTAATCTTAATGATCGTAGCTCGATCGTTACGATTACCCCCTAAATAGTTAATTAAACGATTAGCTCGGGTTATACCCTATACTCCCTGTCTTAGGTCCCTACGTATAGCCTTATTCGTAATACAATACCCCCTCTTTAGCGCTTTTATCCTCGAAAGAACTAACAATCGTTCTTCCTTATACTAACGCTTACCCCTTATTAAATACGCCTTTCCGCCTACGTCCTACTAGTAAGTCCCCTCCTTATATCTTTCCTTTCTTATTGTATCGTTCGTCAAGATAGCTAATCGTATAAAGAAAGTGAAACCTAAGGTTACCTCGATACTCCGCGCTAACTACCTTCTAGCGGCTATTCTTTCCGCTAACGAACTTCTGACGATACGTCCCTGTTCCGCCTACGAGGTACGCGGCCTCGATTCCTACGAAGTCTCGAAAACCGATTCGTCCCGTTATACCGAGTACGTCCGCTTTAAGCGTTCGAACTACAACGTTCTTAGTGTCTTGCCTTCTTAGCTCCGATCTATCGCCTCTCGCTACTAAAAACTCGAAGACGAACTACTAGAGGCGGAGGAGCGTGTTCTCCGCCTATAGAAGTAGAAGAAGTTATAGTTCGAGAAGATAATACGGGCGATCTCTTACAGTATTAATACTATAGAGGAGCTAGAACGGGTAGAGCGCGAGGAGGCGGAGGCGTTAGCGGCGTCGGAGGCCTCGACTAACCCTACCCCTACGTCGGCTACTCCTCCTCTATTAGGTAACGACTTCGTGTTATCCTAGGACTAGGTATACCCCGAGGTACCGTTAGAACCGGTACTAATAAGCGACTTTAGTCTTTTAGCTAGCTTACCCTCCTAGGTAACCTAAAGATATAATTTCTACTTGTTTTCCTTAATAAATAAAATAACTATATAGTATAGTAGTCGGCGCGTATACTTGCTATCCGTTTTACCTTAGGAAGGTCTCCTCCTAGGGTAGAATATAACTAGTACGAAGTTATAGGTTCGACTCCTACTATAGTTATAGTTAATAAAGATCTAAGCCTCCTTAGGATTAGATATTTATTAACCTTTCTTTTTTTTTTTCTCTTTCTTACTAACGTACTTCTTAGTACTTCCTAGGATAGTCCTTCTAGCGATTCGCTTTTAGTATTTCCCTTAGTCGATCTAGGTTCTAGTAGTAGAAGTTTATAACCTTCTTAAGATAGTAGAGGTTCTTAGCTAGTTCCTATAAGTTTTCTATTAAATCGAAGTCTAACTACTTAACTAGATACTCTAGTCGTTGTTCGTTAATACGTAAATCGAGGATCTCTTTAATATCCTATTCTTTTTCTTTATTCTAGGCTTCGATAGTCGTCGTAAGCTTAGCGTTCTTATATACTAGCTTAAGAAGTATAATGTAGAAGACGTTGGTCCTAACTTATATCGTTTCTAGAAGTATAATCCGATAGTTATTTTCCGAGATCCGTTCCTCGATCTTAAACAGTCCGATTTTCTTAAAGTCGAGCTTCCTACTTAGTCGGTTTGTTTAAAGATTTCGTAAGTTAAGGTAGACCTTGTCTCCCCTCTCTAGGCAAGGACTCTCGAGCCTGTTCTTATTATAGTATTCTTTTATCCTACCTCTAACGAATTCGAGTTTATCCCTAAGTATCGCGTAGAGCGTATATATCCGTTCGGCTTTAACTATAGCCCTAGGGACCAAGACGTTAGGCCCCTAGTATAGGTCTACCTTATATCCAAAGTTCGCGAAATACAGTATAACTTTCGTAGTCTCTATAGGTACTATATTATATACTAACTACGCTACGGGTAGAAGTATAACCTAGTCGTCTTACTAAAAGTTAACGTAGAGTCGGAGGTATTGCTCTACGATCTAGTTAAGTCGCTCCGTTTATCTATCTATCTAAGGATAATAAGCTATCGAAAGCTTACTCTTCGTGCCTAGACGTTTTATAAGCGCCTACTAGAATTTTAATACGAACTTAGTATCTCTGTCCGTAATCTATTCTTCTAGCTATATATAGACCGAAGTAATATATCGGTAGATTACGTCTATAAGTTGTTCCGCTAACTACAACTCCTTGTATAGGAAGAAGTAGCTCTATTTAGTAAGTCTATCGACTATAGTAAGGATACTATTATATATCGTTCCCGTTGTCGTGTCTTTTAATGTTAGTAGCTTAGTAATAAAGTCTATCGTTACTGAGCTCTATAGTCGTACTGCAACTAGTAGTAGTTAAAGGAGTCTATAGAGCTTATACCTATCTAGCTTACTTCGGCGGTATAGGTCGTACGCCGCGAGTACCTCCTTAACCTCTTTCTTAAGTCTTAGGAAGTCGTAGTGTTACTTAATTCGGGTAACCGTTTTAGCAATTCCTATATATCCTCCGAGTACCAACTTATAGACTTCCTTAATTAGCTCGGGCCTATCGTAAGGTTCGACATAGGCCTTATTGTTATACTATAAGCGGTAGTTCATTTCGATAACTCCTGCCTTCTAGGCTATATCATTTTGCCTCTAGGCCTAGCCGTTATATATACTACTAGTATAAGCCTAGTAGTCCTGGTTTAGTCGTTTCTCCTTGAAGACTATATAGTACTCCTCGAAGTACT